CAGTAAGGTTGTAGCATAAAAAATTAACAGATAAAAATCATTTGTGTTTTTGCATACTAATTGTGAACACATAGAAACTGAAGTAAAAATTTAAAAAAACATTTATTTTGCTTTAAAGAAAGTGAAATACCTCTAACTCAACCTAACAAAATATGTTCCAGTTTTTATGTTGAACATTGAATGCTGCTGAAAAAAAAAATCAAAGATCAAAATAAAGAGACATAATATGTTCACCAAATAGAAAACTCAACATTTGTGAAGATGTCAATATGCTCCCAAATTAATTTCAATTCCTATCAAAATCTCAGCAAAGACTTTTTTAGAAATAGACAAACTATTCTAAAAATTATATAAAAAAGCAAAAATCCTAGAATAGCCCAAACAATTTTTAAATGAATCCAGTGAAAATAATTGTCTACTAGATTTTAAGGCTTACTATATCACTATACCATTAATATATTTAGTATTAGCAGAGGAATAAAGATGTCACTGAATGTAACAGAATAGAGTACCCATAAATATAAGCACACAAATATGCTCAACTAATTTTCAGTTAAAATGCAAAAGCAATAACTTGTTAACACATGGTACTAGAGCAATTGAACAACTATAGGCAAGAAAAAAAAAGAAAGAAGAAGAAAAAAGAAAACCTTGATTTATGCCTCTTACTTTCAGTGAAATTAATTCAAAATGGATTACACAGACTTACATGTAAAATGTAAGACTATAAAAATTTTGGAAGGAAATATGGAAAAAAATCTTTGGGACTTAGGACTAAGTAAATAGCTCCTTAAACTTGACACCAGTGGCAATGATACATAAAGGGAAAGCTTAATAAATTTGGACCTCACAAAACTAAAAACTTTGGCTTTGTTAAGAGAATAAAAAGACAAATTAAACAGTTGTGTGGCTATGTTGAGTGAAAATATTTGCAAATCACATATATGACAAAGGACTTGCATCTGGAATATAACAAACTCTCAACACTCAACAGTTTAAAAAGTTCAGTAAGAAAATGAGCAAAATACTGTAACAAGTATTTTACTGAAGAAGATATACTGATGGCAAATAAGCACAGGAAAAGATGGTCAACATAATTAGCTCTTGGGGAAATTTAATTTAAAACCAAAATAAGAGTTTGGGTGTACTGGTAACCAAACCTAATGATAACCCAGGCACCCCCCCAGGTGCTGCCATGGGGCCTGCAGAGTTTGCTCCTGCCAGTACCCAAAACCACTCCCCTGGCTCCTGCACCTCCTTACCTGTGTGCTCCCTCCCACAAGGGGTGGAATGCAGCAGGTCCTAGTGAGTGGAGCTCAGTCCTGCCATTGCCAAAGCAGCCAGCTGGTTCCATAGGCTCCCTCCTGTGAAAAGTTGAGAGTGCTGAGCTGAGTAAACAAGGCACCCCTTTTGCGAGTCCCGAAAAGGAGTCAGGAAAATATCCTGTTTCAAAGTGACAGCACAAGGAAACCTTTGGGGGAAGATTGAACAGCTGTTGATTGTAGCAATGGTAACACAAATTTTTTAAAAAGCCAGGCTGAAATATCTTCTTTTAACTTTATTTTAGAAATAATTTCATCAAACTAGGGAAATAAGAAGGAAGCTAAGATAGCAAACTATGATAAAACATCAGCTCCTGCCTATAGGAAAATAAAAGGTAAATAATTTGGTAAAATAATCTTGGGGTTCACTCTAGAAATTACAACAGAAAAGATAATGGATTTCTAAAAAATATAAAAATCAGGTAATAATATGAATTTAGTATTTAGAAGAAAATATTTGACCATTTTTATAATATTGGGGAAGAAAAGACTTTCATAAATATGATCTCAAACTGAGACAGCATGAAGAAAAGAACTTGAAAAATTGTCTATCAAAAGTTTAGAACACAATTATATGATATTTAAAAGGCAAAAGTTAAGCTGCGGGAAATATATTTGCAATACATATGGGGAGAAAAGGCATTTAAAAAATTTTTTAAAAATAAAAAAGATGAAAAGCAATAGAAAAAAACATTTTAAATTTAAAACAAAAGTTTAAAGGTATAAATAGTAAAGTCAGAAAAAAAATCTGTCTGACACTCACAGTACCTGGGTCAAACCTCAATGTCTGGTTCAATTCTGAAGAGTGGTTAGGATAGCTCCATGCTTAAGTTACCTGTATTTCTATCTTACTGGTCCAGCAGAGAAGAAATTAAACAGGATATGCATGAAATGAGAATACAATTGAGTGGACAATTCCCAAGCCACCCTTATTCCTTAGGGAGTTTGGCTTGTGGTTTAATTTCTCAAGGCAGCTTGAGTAGAGAAAAAAAAAATCACCAAGTCAGAGGATCTCAGAGCCCCACATTTGTAGCTTTTACACCATGTTATTGGGAGAGACCTCCTGAAGCCTCAGGAGTTGGAGTTTCACGTGGATTGCACACTCTATTGTTCTTATTTCTGAGTCACTGTTCCTGCAGCAGAACTGTCCATGCCATGCCATAACACACATAGAGGAAGCTTGATATAACTTAGGAAGAAAAGAAAGAGATCTATTTAATATTGATATTGGCTAGGGTGTATTTAATAGATATAATTATTGAGAAGAGAAAATCAATACAGTGATTAAGTTTACTTCAGCTTTGTGGTCCTAGAAAATATCAGTGGTTAAGCAATCTCTTACCGCCACTCTTGTTTCTTTTAATGGCTTACTGCAAAGCACCATCCTTCCCCATGTCACTTAGATAAGACACGGGGTCTACCCACAACAAGGTGAGACACAACCTTTCAGCTTTCTGGGTTTTGTCTCACAAATGATTAGCTGAATTGTTTGTCCCCATTGACCAATCTGGGCAAAGTGCCCCCTACTTTAACCTGACCAAACTTAAGTCAGACTTCCCTCTTTCCCCAGTCAGCTGAATTTTGATCCATCTACGAACATTGGACCATGTAGAACAACCCTCCTTGATGTACTCTCCCAAGAATCAGCTGACTTCAGGGAAAAACATTTCTTTTTTTTTTTTTTTTTTTTTTGAGACGGAGTTTCGCTCTTGTTACCCAGGCTGGAGTGCAATGGCACAATCTCGGCTCACTGCAACCTCCGCCTCCTGGGTTCAGGCAATTCTCCTGCCTCAGCCTCCTGAGTAGCTGGGATTACAGGCACGCACCACCATGCCCAGCTGATTTTTTGTATTTTTAGTAGAGACGGGGTTTCACCATGTTGACCAGGATGGTCTTGATCTCTTGACCTCGTGATCCACCCGCCTCGGCCTCCCAAAGTGCTTTCTTGATCAACTGTCAGATTATACCACTAGCTCAGCCCAATCCCCAACATCTGGTTCTTAACTACCTTGCTTTCTCCTCCCTGTGAAAAAGAAGCTATTCTCTGCCAGACCTTTGAGATGCTTGCAGATCTTAACGTCCTTGAGTTCTCTCTCTATTGCAAAAGTCACCTTTCTCAGTTACAATAGTCTCCTCTCTCTATTACAGTAGCCCCTCTCTGTATCAAAATGGTCCCCCTCCTTCTACTGCTATCACAATGGTTCCATCCCTGTATTGCTGTGGTTCCTCTCTCTATTACCATAGTTCTCTTTCCACTACTGCAGGTATCCACTTCTCTCCCCTGTAAGGACCTCCTCCCTCTATTGCAATAGTGCCCTCCCTGTAGTATGATAGTCCCCCACCCTCTAAACAATAGCGTTTTGAATAAAGCTTCTCCTTATCTGCATCTCCAGTTTTCTTTTATTATATAGAGGGAAATTTAGCAATGCCTGTAACGATTTAAAATGAATGTACAGTTTTGCTCAATAATTCCTCTTTTCAATTGTTTTTACAAAAATACTCATCCATGTATGCCAAAAAGGGTGTCAAGAATATTTACTGTAGCCTTACTTAAAAATAGTAAAAACAGACATAAAAGAAAATGTTGAAAACCTGGAAACAAAAGAAATACTTATCAACAGGCACTTCTAAATAAATGATGTTTTTATACATTAGAATATAATTGTTATAAAAATAAAAATATTACTTTTGATTTTGTTGATATAGGAAGATGACCATGAGGTCATGTTAAAAGAAAAAGGGAATATATATAACAATAGAGTGTGATTCCTGTTGCCCAAATTTGTGCATGCATGCACACACACACACACACACACATTTCCAGATATTCCTACATGGATCTATAGGCCTAGATCTATAGACATGCATACTTACAAATGTAAATCTAGATCTACAGCTGTGCATAGATATACATATGTGTACATACAGATAAGAATATAGAGAGGAAACACACACAAACACATACACACACACACACACACACACACACAGAGAAAGTGAGAGAGAGGCATTTACCAATTCAAAGTAGAATTTGGATTTCAAGGAGTGGAGGAAGAGACTCAGTGTTTTTCTTTATATGATTTCTCCTGTCTAGATGTTCTGCAATGCACACATACACACCCATGCACACACACCCCTGTGTGTTTATATGTATGTACAATTTTTGTTTTTAAAATGGTATGGAAAAGTACATTATTTGTGTATATAGTTTCATGAGTTTTGACATGTCTAGATTTATGTAACCATCATAATACTCAGGCTACAGAACAGTTTAATTACCCGAAAACCTCCTCTTGCAAGCCCTTTCTAGTCACACCCAACCCCTATGCATAGCCCCCAACAACTCCTGGTCAGTTCTCTGTTACCATAGTTCTGACACAACATTTTGAGATTGGCCTTTTTCCACTCAACATTATATCTTTGAGTATAATGATGCAACCAAGATAAAATGAAGACATTGAGATACAACCAAGATGTTGCCTATGCTATAGTTTGTTCCTTTTTGTTACTAAATTGTTTTCATTGCTTGGACGTACATAGTTTATCAATTCATCATTGAGGGACATTTGGGTTATATCCAGTTTTAGGAAATTATAAATAGAGCTTTTATAAACATTTGCATACAGGTTCTTTGTGATCATTTTTATTTTTTTTTAAGTTTTTAGTTTATTAAGCTTATCATGAAAAATCCACAACGGCCAATGTTGGCTTTTTGCCAGCGCCAACATTGGCCTTTACGGTCCCCCTGACTTCCTTCATTCTGTTCTTGCGTTCCTTTCGTTGCTTTCTTGAGGTCTTTTCCTTCTCACACAGGCCATGTCTTGCAAGCCTATGTTTGGGTTCATTTTTCTTTGCATAATCCAGGGAATCACAAATCACGCCAAAGCCAGTTGTCTTGCCACCACCAAAATGAGTTCTGAATCCAAATACAAAGATGACATCCGGTGTGGTCTTGTACATTTTGGCTAGTTTTTCCCGAATTTCTGTCTTAGGCACTGTTGCCTTCCCGGGGTGAAGGACATCAATGACCATTTGTTTCCTCTGAAGCAGTCGGTTGGTCATAAACTTTCTAGTGTGGATAGTTACCGTGTCGTTCATGATGGCTGCCTATTCTTAGCCAGAGAGGAAAAGACCTTTGTGGTCATTTTATTTTTCTAGGGCAAATCCTTGGAATAGACTTACTGGATCACATAAAAGAGCATGTTTAAGTTTATGAGAAATTGTTTAACCATTTTCCAGAGTGGCTGTGCACCACATGCACTTTTTACAATAAAAATCTAATTAAAATAGCATGGAATATGTGGCCATTAATATTTTCATGAGGCATTTGGTTCTTAAGGATGTTCACATCTGGGGACCCTGAATTCTTCAGGACATTTGAAACACTTCATTCTGGGTACAGAAGGGCTGCCAGAAAAGCAGAAGAATAAATTATTTATGTGACATTACTTGAGGTGCTAACATTCTGTAGGTTCTGTATTAAGAACATGCAATACAGATTTTATGTATGAAATTTAGTAATTTGAGATTGGTGAAGAGGACTGATTCACAACTCCCCTCCCTAACGTTAAGTTATAATAACAAGAACAGTAACTTGGAAGCAAAAACTGAGCTTGGTCAAGGAAGCTGGGTGGTCTAATATTCAAGTTTATTGCTAAATCAGGCAGGATTATAGCAAGATCTGTTGTGGAGATGAGAGAGGGTTCCAATCCAAGACTCGGAGAATTATAACAAAAGTTTCCCATCAGATCTCTTACTTGCAAGTCAGCCAGGCATTAGAAAGCAATCCTTACACCTTATTTTCTTATTCTTAAACTATTAAGGATTTTTGAGTGTCTTTGTTTTTGTCCCCCCACCCCTCAATAGCTCTCCTCATTGTATTTCATTTACTTATTCAAGGTCTGGATGACCTCACTTTTAGCCCAGCAGTTCTTCAGCCTCTTGCTGGCTGGGAATCATTCACTAGTTTATTAAAAATTATTTCCTAATTTCCCATTATATTTGAGCCGTGCACTGGGGAACAAAACAGACAAAACTCCCACTCACAAGGAGTTTACATTCAGTAAGAAAAGAGAGACAAAATACATTTTATACAGTGATAGATGCAAGGCAGAGGATTAAAATAGGGTGACGTGATAGAGTTACCAGGTGTCTCTTATCAATCCGGTCATCAGGGAATGTTGTTCTAAAAAGGAAGGAGTGAGTTGAGATCTGAATAACTAGGAGTGATTCTAGGAGGGCTGACATTAAAAACATTCAAGGCACTGAGAACAGCTCACCCCGGGTGCTTGCCAGAAGGAGGAGAAAGACCAGCATAAGTAACAGAATGAACAAGCAGAGGAGAGGATATAGGAGTAGGATCAAATAATACTTTGCAAGCCAGGATAAAAAGTCTTTGTTGCTCTAGAAGTATGTTGGGAATTTTAAAGAAGATTTTGTGTAGGGGAATGACATGATTGGATTTTTGTCTGTCAAAGATCACTTTGAAGACCTTGTAGGGGAAGGAAAGGAAGCAAGGGTGCCAGGATAGAAGATATGCCAGTGGTCTGGAGAGGCTTAGGTGACGTGAACCAAGTGGCAGCAGTCAAGGAGGAAAAATACGGACACAACTGGGTTGTAGCAAAGGCATTAGACATTGGAGGGCTATTTTTCCTTTTATGTTTATAGGAATTCTGCATCTTAGATGCTCATTTTTCCCTTCCTTCCTTCCTTCCTTCCTTCCTTCCTTCCTTCCTTCCTTCCTTCCTTCCTTCCTTCCTTCCCTCCTTCCATCTTTCATTTGTTTATCTAGTTGAGACAGGGTCTTGTTCTGTCACTTAGGCTGTTGGAAATTGGAGAGCTATTTTTTCTTTTTATTTCTATTTAGAAATTTTGTATCTTAGATGCTCATTTTCTTTTCTTTTTCCTTCTTTCCCTCCTTCCTTCCTTCCTTTTCTCTTTATCTCTTTCTCTCTTATTTATTTGAGACAGGGTTTTGCTCTGTCACCCAGGCTAGACAGCAGTGGTCCAATCAGAGCTCACTGCAGCCTTGATCTTCTAGGCTCCAGCAATGCTCCTGCCTCAACCTCCCAATAGCTGGAACTATAGGTGCATACCACTGCCCCTGGCCCATTTTTTAAAATTTAATTTTAAAAAATTAAATTTTTTGTAGAGATGGAGTCTTACTGTGTTATACAGGCTGGTCTTGAACTCCTGGCCTCAAATGATACTCCCGCTTTGGCCTCCCCAAATGCTGGGATTACAGGCGTGAGCCACTGCACTTGGCTCTAACTTTACTTTAATGTTTGGCTGCTGAAACTGAAGAGAACAGAGGTTTGGAGCAACTGTTGTGCTTAATGCCAGATGTTGGAAAAAATGAGGCTTATCTGGAAATCTTTCAGTGTTAATTGAATTATAAAATGTCAGGGCCTTGTATCAGAAGGACCCTTCCATGAATAAACATCAAGAGTTCCACTCTTCTGCATCCTCTCTTTATATAAATCATGCTTAGCAAGGAATGAAGGTTGTTATGGTAATAAACAGAGGAAATGAAGTGAATAGCTATACCAAGAAAATAATTGTAAAAGTTTTTTATATGCTGTGAATAGTTATACCAAGAAAATCGTTGTAAGAGTTTTTTACATATTGTATAAGTTTTTCCCTCTGACATGGGTGTTAGATGCCATATTGCTGCCCCCCATATGTTGGATTAGCATCACTCAAATCCAAAAATTCACAGTGATCCTATGAGCTATTTTGCTCATTGTCTTACATTCAATATTCTGAGACTTTCAGAAGAATGTATGTATCAAAGGTGAGGAGGGAAGGTTTATAACAGCGGTGACATACTTAATGTTTCTCAGCTTGAATTCATCCACCTATAAAATGAGAAGAATAACACTTATCCATTATCAGTTATTGTAAGGAAAAAACTATAATATATAAAACAACATGCAGTGCACATGGCATGTATCATATGCTCAAGTGAATGTAGGCTGTAATATTAGGCTTTGAAACAACTCTTCATATATTAGACCCCCCCCAACAAATAAGTAATAGAGAGAGTGGAGAATCTAACGCAGAAATGGAGAGTTGTCAAGAGCTATGGAAGATACTCAGAATTAAGCTAGCGTAGAAAAGGAATGGAAGACTAAACAGCATAATCGATACACCTGAGATAAAATAATGAGGCTCAAGTAAAAGATATAAAGAATTTTGAACCAGAGGCTTTTTCCAAACCATGGTTTGTGCCTGGTATATGGAATTAGAGTCAGATGGACTGAAGCATGGATAGCATTCCCTATGCAAAGCTTTTTGCCGAGATACCATATCCTGCATCTGGAAAGCATAATTTAGTGTTCGTTTGTCTGTTTTTTAAATTCTCATTCTTCCTTACTGGCAAATCACGAGGCTTGGGGGTGCTGGCTGTTGAAGGTTGCTTATGAACTGGGCAGCCTACAGCTGTGTGAAGTGAAGCATCAGAGTTGCTGGTGGGGAGAAAGATCGAGACAGAAGAAACCAGTTGGGCGGTGGATGCTGACTCTGAGGCGTGACAGGGCATCCTCTGTCTTAAACCTATCAATTTGAGAGTTTGAAGAGTCTCCCGGGAGGGAAAGTTGTTGAGAACAAATCTACACTCAGATCCCCTTGTTCTTCTCCTTTTCCCTAAGTCCCAGGGAAGGGGGGCGGGTTGCAGTTTGTTAAAGTATTGGATAATCTCCCTAGCTTCTCTATTGTGAGCTGCAGTTTATCACTTTTCTTTAGAGCTTTGGAAGAATAACTAGAGATTCCCATAGCAGCTTGTTTGTATTTCTTTCCACTCCTAGATGGGGCTTACAGGAAAAAGGATATTACCTTCATTTATAGCCTAAGTTTGGCAGAGTCAGTGCATTTATTCTTCTTTTAGCTATTGGAAACCTAGTCGGGATAGAATTCTTCAAGGAAATAATCACAACTGCTGTGTCATCTTTCTCAAATTAATTTTAGCACTTCCCATCATCTTCACTACCTTTTTCAGCTTAACAAACAGACCAGATGTTACTAAATTGTGATCTTTGTTACAGTACAAGGCTGTGGTCTCCAGGGTTTTAGGCTCATATGCACAGCCTCTGCATTGCCACATGCCCAGGGAATGTGGTTGTATTTGAGGTTAGTAAATCTGAAGACATTAATTTTATTTAGCATTTCCTCAGCAATAGCTCTGCATTCACTAATGGCACCTTAGATCTCCTGAGATAGTCACACATTAAACCAGAAATACATAAATTGTCCCTATTGCAAAAGTGAGAGATTTTTAACTCCTGAGTAACCAACACATTTTCATAAAAGGAAATGATCAGAGGTACAATTCAAAATTGTAATTCTTAGAATCTGGGACCAAAGATAATTTTATTTTTTTTCAGAAACAAACCAGGACTCTCAAACTTAAAAAAAGAAAGGTTTAAAAGCACCTTTTTTTTGTTTGTTTGTTAGAGATTCTTAGGTGAAAATAATTAGATAAATGTAAAATCCCTTGGCATTTTACCTGTAATTAGTTCCTAAATAAATGCCAGTGGCTAGAATTTGTGTTAATCTCACCATTGGCCTTGGTGTACATTAGAATAGTATCAGGTAGAGAAAATGGAAAGATTCTTTACAGTTAGAAAATACATTTGATGACATTTAATTTTTATATTTTCATATAGAAAAACTTGAGTCGTAGAGAAGGCAAATGAGTGCTCACACCTAGGAAATAAGAAGGATAAATGAATGGTAAATAAATCCAGAAGACACCAATTTGAGTCTTTTGTCTGGTTTATATGATTTCTATGACTTTGGGCAAATTAGTGAGCTTCTTCCAGCTTCGGTGTCCTCATCTGCAAAATAGAAATAATATATATATTTCATTGAATTGTTGTCTGGAAGTGAAATAAAATACATTGTGTAGAATTATTTTAAAAACTACAGAAAACTCTGACACATGTGGATTGTTCTTTTAAAAAAGCAAAGGTACCATTTATTGGGTTTATATAACATTCCAGGCACTTTTTCTGAGAGCTTTGGATATCCATATCTACACAATATTTTGCGAAGATTGTATTGTTTTTTGTTCTTATAGTTGGAAAAACTGAGGCTTAGAGTGGTCT